TATTTCTATATATATATATATATATATATATATATATATATATTGCAATAATTGTAGGAATAAATATATATATATATATATATTTGAACGTTAAGTGTGTATAAGCAATGATACAAAATGACAAAAAACGGACATCGTTGAAACAACATAGAGTCAGATGTTGATTCAATAAATGTAATGTAAGTGTTCATCATCAGACAGATAAAAAAAATGGTAACTCATATTTTTAAAGTATTCATTAAAAGAACCACTTATAAGTTTGGGAATCAGACTAAACATTTGATTCACTAAAAAGAACCGGCTCCTAAGAGTTATTAGTTTGGGAATCAGACTGCACTGATCACACTAAATGTTTCTCATTAAGAGTCATTAGTTTGGGATTCAGATTAAACTGGTCCCTCTAAATGTTTTTGATTTACTAAAAAGAATTGGCTCATAAAAGTCATTAGTTTGGGAATCAGACTAAAATTATCACATTTTATGTTTTAGATTTACTAAAAAGTAGAGTGAATCATTACATCATCAGTCAGTGTACACTTGTTGCGTTATGTTTTTGCGTGCTGCTCTTGAGAACAGCTCAACAGAAAGAAGTTTCTCTACATTATTCTGTCTTTTTATTGCATCACATTCAACATATGCTGTAAGCTTACATTCATTACTTGGGTAAAATCTGGTTTCTTTTGCTGTGAAGCTGAGGATTTAGCAGCAGGTAGTACCACTGCTCCAAGCAATTATGAGTGTGATGTCTAGTGCACTGGCTAATCAAATAAACTTGTATCTGTTATTACACGGCACTCTAGAGTACTTGATTCTGATTGCTGCAACATTCTACAGTCAAGTATTTTTGTAATGACCTAAATAATCACTATTTTATTTATTCAATTGGTAAAAAGCCATGTAATAAGCAAGAAAATGTACAGTTATCCGGTGAATATCGCAAAAAAAAAGCCCCGTCAGGGTAATCATTGTTGGTAATCACACTGTCAAGCATTATCCCTTAACTACTATTGACACAAAAACAAAATAGTTTAAAAGTGAGTAATGAGAGCCTTGTGTCCCAACTATAACCCCTCAGAGGCCTCATTGCTCCTGTTTTGCTAATGAGAAACATTAGCACTAATTTTTAGGGTTACTTGATGAATGGCTGAGCCTTTTTCCCTCTCCTCTACCCCTCTTCTCCATCTCTGGGGGACTGACAGGAGCTGAGATACAAAATGTTCCTTTAGGAGATGCTAAAAATACTACCTGTGTCGGGGGGAAATAAACAGCTGTACAATAGCTTCGCAGAAGGGAAGGCA